GGAAAAGTACCGCAGTGTGAATGCGCCTCACTGCGGTACTTTTCCCACAAAGGTTCATGTGAACTTAGTTCATGTGAACTCTTTTATCGCGTTCACACCAAAAAGAGCCGGTACTAAAATTAGTTCATGTGAACCTTTTTACCCCCACGCGGCTCTCTTGTGAGAAAAGAGCTATATTTCTGATTGGCTGGGCGGATTGCAAACCACGCCCCGTAAAACTCCCAAAAAGTTTTGTGAAGCCGCCATTTTATTATCCTCGCATTAGCATTATTAGCATTAGCCCAGCGCAGAAACGCAGAGAGACTAACTTATGGCAACACAAAATAAAACATGGGAGCGGTGGAGATGAGGAGGTGTCGGCGTTCTGGCGATTTACTCGGAAGGCTTCAGTAGAAGCTGCTGGGAGTCCCAGCAGCTTCTACTGAAGCCAGTGTCACTACCCGATCTGCAGCTCTGCCCGATCTGCTGTGCGCATGTGCGAGATGGTCCGCCATATTGGACAACGCCGGACGGCAACCCAAATAGGACAACATTGACATCTAGACCGTCTGAACCATTCGCAAGTTTTTACATGTGACAAAATATGCATTGCGCATTCGCGAGTTTTTACAATGCAGCTCCACAATGCGGCTGCAAGTGGGACAAGAGGGAGTGCTCGCGGTGACACGCTCTGATGTTCTCTGTGGGGTTTCTGAGGGGCCAATCAGGAAACACCTCTAAAACAAAGGGCCTTGAAAAAGTGTTGGTCTGCTCAAAGATTTCATTTAACTTCTTTTTTTTTCATTTCAATCTTTATTTCGAACAGATAAAAAAATTAAAAAAAATAAATAACAAATGTGAAAAACAGAATACTGTATTGTTAAAATACAGTATTTATCCACATTCATGATAATATTTATATATTCAACAAAAAAAGTATTCATATTAATAATAATAATAATAAATCATATGTGTCCGAAAGGGAGCAGGAGGAAGCAAATGCTTATTAATTCCCATCCCTTACTTGATCAATGATTGTCCTTTAAATCAATAGGCGCATTCACACTGCGGTACTTTTCCCATAAAGGTTCATGTGAACTTAGTTCATGTGAACTCTTTAGTTCGCATGAACTAAGTACAGATCGCGTTCACACTGGAAAAAGTCCCTGGGGGTGGATTAGGCAAATGAAGCCGCTGACGTCACTTGTTCTTCTTCTGCTTTGGGTTTACTGGCAGGCCGCAAACCACTTCACGGCGTATACTGCCGCCCAAAGTCCCCGGCCGGAAGTCCCCGGAGTTGGGGACTGGCTGTCACTGTCACTACCCAATCTGCAGCCGGACGGCAACCCAAGTAGGACAAAATTGACATCTCGACCGTCTGAACCATTCGCAAGTTTTTACATGTGACAAAATATGCATTGCGCATTCGCGAGTTTTTACATGTGAGTGTGACAAATGGTGATTTGCAGAGTTTTTACATGTGACAAACGGTGATTTGCATTGCATCTGACAGAATGAAGACTTTAGTGTTTTACAACAATTTGAGAGAATACATGTCTGAAGGTGAATTTCACACAGACCTCTCTAAAAATGAGCGAGATCAAATGCGCCGTGCGTCATCGAACTTTACAGTAAAAGGTAATTAATTCTCATTCTCCTGTTATTTTGTGTTGTGACTAACTGATCAGTTACTTATCTCTGTCCCAAGTTTTGTATTGTATTTTTATTCTATTGTATTTGTATTGCCTTTCTAAATGAAATAATTCTATACAAAAAAATATTTAATTCAATATTATAATATAATTTATTATTTTATTATTATTTATAATATAATAATTGTATTCCTGAATGACCCCTTTTTTATGTTTGTGTTTGTGTTTTTTTAATTAATCAAGCAAAATTAAAGGATAACAAACTCCAGTTATATAAATCCATATGAATAAATAATATTACATGCAAATGACATTTCCTGTAGGATGCTGAACTCTCTCCCACCTCTCCCCTCTGCCCCCATTGGACCTGGATCTTAACACCCCCCCCCCCACCCACACACACACAATATATGTATTGCTGTGCCTTCTTATTTGCTCGTATTATGATGGGATATGGTTTAATTTAGTAAATGGTTGTGTGTGAAAAATGTATATCTCTAAAATGTGTGTTGGTGTATGATCACATTTGTATATGAAAATGTCTGAAGTTCATAAAAACATTCTCAGTGTTCAAGTCAATCACTGCAAAGGGTGACGATATGGCAGAAGGTGCTATATATATATATATATATATATATATGGAATTGTGTATATATATATATACATACACATACACACAATTCCAAAGCTGGTAAGGACTCTTTCAAATTTAGCAATAATAGTCTGAAGAAAAGGACTGATAACAGAGATTTGCTCTAATATGTATTCAGTATGATAGGCTCTGTCTTAACCCCAAACAATAAAACACAAAAGTCTTCATTCTGTCAGATGCAAAAGTCTTCATTCTGTAATAAAACACAAAAGTCTTCATTCTGTCAGATGCAAAAGTCTTCATTCTGTCAGATGCAATGCAAATCACCGTTTGTCACATGTAAAAACTCGCGAATGCGCAATGCATATTTTGTCACATGTAAAAACTTGCGAATGGTTCAGACGGTCTAGATGTCAATTTTGTCCTACTTGGGTTGCCGTCCGGCGTTGTCCAATATGGCGGACCATCTCGCACATGCGCACAGTAGATCGGGCAGAGCTGCAGATCGGGTAGTGACTGTCACTACCCGATCTGCAGCTCTGCCCGAAAAGGGGTCATTCAGGAATACAATTATTATATTATAAATAATAATAAAATAATAAATTATATTATAATATTGAATTAAATATTTTTTTGTATAGTATTATTTCATTTAGAAAGGCAATACAAATACAATAGAATAAAAATACAATACAAAACTTGGGACAGAGCTAAGTAACTGATCAGTTAGTCACAACACAAAATAACAGGAGAATGAGAATTAATTACCTTTTACTGTAAAGTTCGATGACGCACGGCGCATTTGATCTCGCTCATTTTTAGAGAGGTCTGTGTGAAATTCACCTTCAGACATGTATTCTCTCAAATTGTTGTAAAACACTAAAGTCTTCATTCTGTCAGATGCAATGCAAATCACCGTTTGTCACATGTAAAAACTCTGCAAATCACCGTTTGTCACATGTAAAAACTCTGCAAATCACCGTTTGTCACACTCACATGTAAAAACTCGCGAATGCGCAATGCATATTTTGTCACATGTAAAAACTTGCGAATGGTTCAGACGGTCGAGATGTCAATTTTGTCCTACTTGGGTTGCCGTCCGGCTGCAGATTGGGTAGTGACAGTGACAGCCAGTCCCCAACTCCGGGGACTTCCGGCCGGGGACTTTGGGCGGCAGTATACGCCGTGAAGTGGTTTGCGGCCTGCCAGTAAACCCAAAGCAGAAGAAGAACAAGTGACGTCAGCGGCTTCATTTGCCTAATCCACCCCCAGGGACTTTTTCCAGTGTGAACGCGATCTGTACTTAGTTCATGCGAACTAAAGAGTTCACATGAACTAAGTTCACATGAACCTTTATGGGAAAAGTACCGCAGTGTGAATGCGCCTATTGATTTAAAGGACAATCATTGATCAAGTAAGGGATGGGAATTAATAAGCATTTGCTTCCTCCTGCTCCCTTTCGGACACATATGATTTATTATTATTATTATTAATATGAATACTTTTTTTGTTGAATATATAAATATTATCATGAATGTGGATAAATACTGTATTTTAACAATACAGTATTCTGTTTTTCACATTTGTTATTTATTATTATTTTTTTTTTTATCTGTTCGAAATAAAGATTGAAATGAAAAAAAAAGAAGTTAAATGAAATCTTTGAGCAGACCAACACTTTTTCAAGGCCCTTTGTTTTAGAGGTGTTTCCTGATTGGCCCCTCAGAAACCCCACAGAGAACATCAGAGCGTGTCACCGCGAGCACTCCCTCTTGTCCCACTTGCAGCCGCATTGTGGAGCTGCATTGTCACACAGCTTCCTCAGAGGATGTCCCATTAGAAGTGCTTTGTGTGTGCAAGCATAAAGCTCACACACACACACACACACACACACACACACACACACACACACACACACACACACACACACACACACACACACACACACACACACACACGCACAACCACCAGACACAGCAAGAACTGTTGTGTGTACCAACACGGGCCAACACTTTGTCTTGTGGGTGTACAGTTTCCATAGCTAACTAACACAGCCTTGTCTCACACGACGTGCTCTAACTGACAACCGAGACCGCCAGACACAGTTCACAGAAAGGACTTGGAATTTCTTTTGAAAGAGTACGTCAAATCTGTTTATATCCCTATGACATCTACAGTTGCTTGAAAAAAAAGGAAATATAGAGCACTGCATTTGAGGAAATCACACCTCAAAGGAGACAAGAATGGCTATTTATTTTTAAATATGTCTTTATATTTAAGGTCAAGCTCAATAAAGTTCCATGAACTTCTCTAACCTCTTATTTGTTTTACCTACTGTAAATCAAAAGGTTTTGAGTATGATCTGTCAACCATCGATTGTTTTTCGCCTTTCATGTCCAGGGCTCTGTTGATAACCACAGAGTTATAATTTCTAATATTTACGTAGAACAAAATGAAAGAGATGAACAAATATGAAAAACGTTTAACGTTCAAAAGGCTCATGTTTAACTAATGAAACGTACTCATTCAATTGACATTTGATTAACTTTTCTTCGTTGCTTCAGTTTCAGAATATATTTTTCTTTTTAAACCTAAATGAATCAATTGCGCTAGATTCCCAAGTTTTGGTAGAATTGACGTGGTGATAATGGTAACTTGTTACTAGCAGCACTTATGAGCAGTTTATTAATGAGTCCCCATTTTGTTTGTCTTGCACAAGGACATCCACAGGTGGCAGTGACACACCAAGGAACTCAGTCATGTGCCAGGGAAGAAGAAGACTGCAGGCTAGTGAACATATGATGGATGCAAACAATTGACGATTTAAAATGGTCAAAACTTTGACTTTGCAAATGTTTCATGAGGAAGAAACTGCATTCAACACATTTAAGATCCTGATGATGCACACTATGGATTTTGGTGAGTGACCATTTATGTTAAAAATAACTTTTGTTTGTTTCCAAGAGCACTAACCAGGGCACCATTAGGCTAGCTCTCAACACAAAATGCAATGCACTTATAATATTTGCAATCTAAGAGAACTTAAGAGGTTGACAGAAGTACAACTATTGCTGGAAAAGATGAACAGAAACGTTCTAATTAACTGTTCCCAAAATAACCTGCACACCTGAACCACAGGTAAGGGATTTTGAATGTGTCAATGACTGTTTGCTGTCAGTCATTTGTTAAAGTTTATGGTTATACATCTTTGAAGCGAAACGGGCCAAACTACATTAAATTGCATAGAAGTAATATTAAATATGGTTTGGACGCATTTGACATTACACTTTAAACTTGATTTGAACAGTGGCTTACAACCGAACAAGTTGTTGCAGAAAATACATCTATGTTTGATTTATTTTTAAAATAACGGAACTCTACCACAAGGGTTGGCTTCCTGTGACATTAAATGAGTGTTTGCTCACTTCATTAAAGTAGGTGCACAGTGTATCACAGGAACCTGTCATCACAATAACCCCTGTGTAAAGAAATGAGTGAAACCCTCAGGAAGCAGCTGCTGCAGACCGTCTCTGCCCCACATGAAAGGATGTGGTTTGAGATGTATGTGTGTCCTAAAAAAAGCTTCCACCACAGTCTCTGTGTCTTGTATGTCCTCAATATATCTTTGTATTATTTCACCAGATTTTTAATATGAGCAAAGAAAGAAACACTGCAAAACACTTTTGATTCTACTCATTTCAACTAATCACTTATTACTAAACCCACTGTGTCTCACTGTGAGTGTCTGAAGTCAAACTTTTGACTGGCCATTGTCCAGGAGTCAAACTTAAGTCTTTAGCGCCCTCCGGAGGGATAGAGCTGTATCAGAAGGATTCAAACAGTCAGTGAGACCTTATTCATTCCAAGAGCCACTTAGTAGACACATCATGGGTCTGTGTCACTTCAACATCAACATTTATTAAACATTTTGTGTATTTATTTGATGTCTCGCAGTATATTCAGGTAAAACATATAATTCTGGATATTCTTTTAATATTAGAAGATATGTCTATTACAGTTCCATTTATTTTCCACTAGAGGTCAGGGCAAATAAACAGACGAGCACTGTGTGAAGCACGGCCAATGAAATAGCACTTTAAGTTATGAAGACATGTATTGAACCTGCTCTGTTGTAATCACAAACTCTGAAGACAAATACACTCTCTGTAAACGTCAAAGCAGCACCACAGTGAAATATCTGATTAACTTTTTTATCAAAAAACTACAATATATCAAACCCACAAGGTCAGTGTGATCAGACTGAATAGGTCTCGGCAGCATTATGATCAGTATTGTTTAAATGTATTGATCTATTGAAAGCCTTTCCAAACCACATAAGTGAATCATTGAAAGATGTTTTAAGTGGTGCTTTATTGAGTATTTACCTCGGTTATAATATATTTTAACTTGATTGTGTAATGAATGAAGCAAATCCTCTTAAAAGAAAATGTCTGTACCTGTTTAAAGACCACCTACAATATGATGTTGAACTAAAAGACTAATGTTCAACTTGTGATAATGTTTTTGTGACTGATTTAAAGAAGTATCAGTCATGAATGAATGTAGTGACTTTTATAATAATTTTATTGTATCAACTTTTGTGTTTTGTGCTGTTTAGTGTGCATTTTCCCGCCACTGAAAATGACTGGGTTTATTGTTTAATTGATCAGAACAGATTATGGTTGGCTTATTTACCCAAAGTAACTTATGGAGCAGTCTAAACTGTTGTTAAATGTTGTATCATTGTAATCTCCTTTGTCTACTTGTCAGGTTTCACTGGTTATCTAAAACGTACTCAATTTCAGAGTCTCTAAATGGTTCTCACAAAGAAACATACACACACTACACACACACTCACAATTGGTAACTCAAATAATACGCCAAAGAAAAGCACATTTCAACATTTAGTGTCTTTATAAAACAGATTTGCAAAATATAGCCAAGGCTCATTCATTTAAATATGCATAAATAGCAAGAAAATACTTTCCCATTTCAATTCAAATAATGTTATCGAACTTCTTTATACACAAATCAGAGATGAACATTATGAAAAACAGGGCGGAACCCTCTTGATTTGATGCAGCAGGTAAAACACAAGCATACTGAATAGCTATAGCGGCAGCTGATTAGTCACAAATATACATCCTCTGAAGACACATTTCATTAACATTAAAACAAATTCTTATTCAAGTCTGTGAATTATCAAAGTACACATCTTTGGATGGATGCCTTTTTAAGATCAATATATATTTATATATATATTTTACATTTTCAGCAACGCAACTGTAATTAACACCACCATGGCCAAAACGTTTGTATCTATGTACAATAGTGCAGACGAGGAGCTTAACTCAGAACAAAGGCAGTGAAAGTTTAATAACACCTTATCAAGTGTCCTGATTTGTTAGACTTCAAGTGGGTTCCCTTTGTTTGGGAATGTCATAAAATAACTATGTCAGGAGTAAATACGCTTTGTGTGTCGGATAACGCCCTGCTGTTATAAAACATTATTTTGTTTGTTTGGAAGTACAGGTCCCCTTTTTTAAAACATTTAAACACAGTTTATCATAATTCAACTTGCTGTGATTTGTTTGGATGAAGGCTTATTCTAATGCAATGTATGTCTACCACACTTTCCTTTTGTTTTGAGACTGAAATGTTATGATAACCTCCCTCTATAATACATTTTTGATTATTTTGTACATGTAATCGTGTAAATGTTTTACATTCATAGTCACTCATTTAACAATTGCAATAGATCCTGTTTTATTCATAGAATTTTATTTTACATATAAAGATTTTTCAGAAAAAGCCTCATCACATCTTAAGATGACATTTTAGAATGATTTATTTTGCATTTATAGCATTTCAAACAACCCTGTAGATAAGTAACGCAAATAATATATATAACAGCATTTTGATATGTTTTCCTCATTAGCAGTGTCAAACTGTGTGCCTCCTCTTAAATGCTATCAGATTATTTGTAAACAATTATTCAACATGACATCTGTGAAATGCTTTAATGAGACTGTTTTCTCCAACAGTCTGCCACGTCAGCAGCCTGCAAAGGGTTGATCAATCTCTCGTTCACTTTTTCAAAAGGTGCTTTAGCTTCTTGGAGCAGAAAAGACTCTGAGATTAAAGAGAATATCTTTCTTGTCCATTTTTTCTTTTTCTTTCTCAGTTCATTTGGCCGGCTCAGGGATGGGAGGAGCGCGCTCCAGCCTCATGGTCCAGGGGTCAGAGGGCGCAGCGTAAAACGGAGCGTGGGTAAGCACTTCTTCTCCAGACAGGGCAAAGGTGAATACCCCCCTCTGCCTCCCCGCTCCTCCCTTCTCCTCCCGTGCGATGTGCTTCCCCTCTGCTCGCCGCTCCTCCCTGCTCTCCCTGTCCCCGCTCTTAAACCCCAGACCCCTGCTGGAGAGCATCTCCCCGAGTCCGTGGCTCTTGACTCCCTGGTATGCAGGGCTCAACCCGTTCTCCTCAAACCGGTTGGGGGCAGCAGTGGGGGGGCAAAGGAAGTTGCTGGTGGGTGTGGACCGCCAAGCAGCTGGCTTTCGTCCTCGCCTGGGGCGGGAGATGCGGCAGCTTTGCCTCTTGATGTGTCGATGTAGGTGGTCGGAGCGTGTGAAACTCTTGTAGCAGTGCTCACACTGGTATGGCCGCACGCCGGTGTGGATCCGCAGGTGGTTCTTCAGGTCGTAGTTGTGCACAAACTTGGAGTTGCAGTGGAGGCAGATGTAGGGGCGCTCACCTGTGTGCTTCCTCATGTGGATCTTGAGTTTGTCTTGTCTGAGAAAAGAAGAAAAAACGTTTTCATTCAGTTTGTGGCGCGTGGAAAGGTTACCTCATCAATTATAGCATTGCAATTCTTCACACTTTTAGCCCTTGCTAAAGTGAGTTTAAAAAAGGATTTGTTTCTGCTGACATTAAAGGTCTGTGGAACTGTTCCAGAGCAAGAGGATGTAAGTGAGTTACCACTAATGCTAAGAAACCAGCGTAGGGGGCTTTCCACTTGAAGCCCTTTGATATTCAGATATGGTAAAAATAGATTAACCTCAGTCTAAAGAGAATTGCGGTACTTTTCCGTTAACCCTGCAGTTTTACATAACCTGATGCTTTGTAGTACAAAAAAAACCAGAGAGCTCTCACGGTGATCTCTGTGTGCCAGTTAAGTAATGATGATGTGTTAGAAAGTGCTGCCTTGCATACCTGGTGAATCGTACTTCACAGATAGTGCACATGTACGGTTTCTCCCCCGTATGCGTCCTCATGTGTCGAGGCAGTTTCCCAGCACCTTGGATGACCTTGTTGCAGATCGGACACTGCTGAGACGCTTTGGGCTTCATCTTCCTCTCCTCCTCCAGCTGCCAGGGGGGGAACAGAGCCCCCAGGTGGGACGCAGAGCTCAGGAAGTTCAGGTACGACCGGAAGTCAGCCTCATCCTTTATCGGCCCGAGACCCTGACCTTCTGACGGAGCTGACCCCGGGTTCATGGTGCTGCCTAGGCCCGAGCTGACAAACTCCTTTAGGAAGTTTCCGTGGAGCAGACTGAGCGGGATCTCGTCTTTCATCTCCTCCTTTATGATCTCTCTCTTCACAGCGAGATCGAGGGGTCTGGAGGCCTCCATCTGTGCCGCTGATTGGAAGCCGTGGGGGAGCCTGGTCTGCTGCGAGGCCGCTGCGTGGGCGTGCAGGTGGTGGCTGGGGTCCAGGAGCTGCTTGGGGAAGGCTGGGAACTCAGCGGCCCACATGGAGGGGTAGAAGCCCGGGATGAGAGGGGAGAAGCTGGCCCTCCTGTCCAGGGTTGACATACGGGGGTAGAGACCCTCCTGGAGGAGAGACTCGATGGAGAAATCCTTCAAAGCCCGACTCTCCATACTCTCCTGCAACACAACACAGCATCATCAGCCTTCTGAACTTTAGAAAATAATTACCTTTTCAAGCTTTATTAGCAGAATAACAAAACAATACCTGTTTCCCTCTCATGTTGTCCGGAGACTGCGACTGTGACGAGTCTCTGTGCAGCTCAAACTGCTGCTGGTAGGTGGAGGTGCTAGGAGGGGGCGAGTCCTCCGCCCCCCGAGACGTCTGCTCCCCCCTGCTCTCCGACGACTGCAGTGACCTCTCGCTGACATCGTCCTCCTCATCCTCCTGCTCGTCCTTCCTCGACCCCTCGTCCTCCTCTTCTTCTTCCTCTTCTTCCTCCTCCTCCTCCTCCTCCTCCTCGGCATCCTCCTCCTCCTCTCCCTCCTCCCCTCTCCCTCCTTCTCCGCTGCCTCCACCCCCGCTGTCCATGATCTCCAGGCAGACGTTGATGATGCAGGGTATCTCCAGCATCTGAGCGGCGTTCAGGATCTCTTTCACGTTGGACGCCGTCACCGTGAGAGTGGAAGTGTAGGCGAACTCCAGGATGGCTGCGAGAGAGTCCGGGGCCACAAAGTCGATTTCGTACACGGCAGCTGTGTGGTTATGATCCCCGCTATCGGTGGTGGCCACTGTGAAGAGCTTCTTGAAGTACTGGCTGCAGGCGGCCAGCACGGAGCGGTGGGTGCGGTACTCCTGGTCGCTGACGATGAGGATGACGTCGCAGAGCAGCCCGTCGCGCCGCTGCTCGTTGAGGCTGCAGAGGACATCGCTGCTATGGTTTGGGAAGGGGATCCCAATCAGGTCCTCTTCTCTGTGATGAACCATGCTGATGGTTATCTATGGAAGAGAATAACAGTCAACTGTTTAGTGACACTTCAATTAGACTGTGAAAATGAAGAAGACAACATTCTACTGGATCCACATCAAGTCCTGAATGTATTCTATATAATATACATATTACATATTTAACTTCATGTGACCATTATGACACATTTTCAGAGTTACTGTGACTTATTCCCAACGAAAAAAATCCAACAACGCTTTTACGAAAGATTATTTATAATATATAACTTGTATATAGTACTTGATGATAGAGGTCTCCGTTTTGAAAGGACTTTCTCAGATTGGAAGCGAATCAAAAAGTGAAAGGAGTGACAAAAAGTAATTATTTTACAATTGATGTTATTGTTTTGTTAAAAATGGAAAGAAGAGTGTCTAAAATATCTGGGGAATGTAACACATTGATACTTTGAACATGTTATTATTTAATTTGATAATTCCTTTGGATTTCGTGCTGGCATTTGATTTAGTTTACAAATGGAAATCCACATAGTTGGCTTATCGCTCCCTCAAGAAACGGAGAGTCAGTATCATAACCTTCTTGCAGGAATGTAGATTTGTGCTGCAGGGATTCTCATGGGGATGGAGTGCAAACTGAAAAATTATGTGGGCATGTTAAAGCAAATAATGAAACAGTTATTTATTCTAAAACACTGATTTAAAGGGAACAATAGCTGTAAATCCATGCACATTTTAAATGCTCATAACTGAAGCTGATATTGTTAACAAAAATCAGTGACAGTCTAGCTTTATTAAAATATACTGTAGGCATGCTTGTTTGCGTGCCATCTGTGCAGCAACGGCAACAAGTGGTAAATACAGCATGTCTCATTTTGAGCAAACATCACATCGGGTAATATTTAATCCTGAATGTGCTATCACGATTTCTTGTAGGAGCGCGTTGCGACTCTGAGCATTAGGGAAACCCATCATCTTGATAAAACATTCACTTTTCTTGTTATAATTGTTCTTGTGTTTGACACATGATGATAAGTGCGTGAGAGTCTCTGTAATAATGCGTGTAACATCCATCTCTCTTGTCTTTCTCTAACAGATATGAGCACGAAGAAAGCCGATACCTTCATTGGAACAATACGGTGTGTGATTGGGATGTGGTGAGAAATGAAGAGAACAACAAAAGAGGTCAGATTGTACTCTAGATACTGTATCCTGTCAAAATGCTTACTTAGGCATTCTGTCCTCTCCACACTTTCAATACACACACACGCACGCACACACGCACGCACACACACACACACACACACACACACACACACACACACACACACACACACACACACACACACACACACATCTCTTTTTGCTTTTCTTTAAGCCTTCATTCCACAGCTGCCTGAGTTCCTACCTGTTGATTCACTGTGCTGTTGTTTACAGTTACTGTGATAAAACTTCCTCTGGCAGGGTGCTCATTCATTCACATCTATGAATAGAGCTTACACTTAGCCACTGAAGGCATGTGTAGATAAATACTTTGAAGCGGGCTCGCTCACCACAGCTGCATTGTTGACTGGTTCGAAATGGGCCAGGGCTAAAGCCACACAGTCGCACACACACAAAGACACACTCGCACACACACACATCAAGTGTCTTGCCTATGTGCAGTTGGGGATCACACCAGAGAGTGAGAAATAAAAAAATCTCAGAAAATCCGTAATTTCACCTGCAGGTATACAACGTGGTTACCAATCTTACATGTCGTTTTTTTCTTGTCGATCTTGTTGCTAGGTAACTGTTGCTATGTTCATGCTATTGATACAGTGTGGTCATAATTAAAATGTCTATAGAGGGGGTGGTGGTATAGGATATAGGCCCGCAGACCCACACAGAACTACCTAGATTCGAAAAACTGGAACAATAGAGTGACAGAGAAAGTCGACCTCCAGTTGAAATCATATATAAAAACATGAATACTGAAGGGAACATATGTTCTATCTGCATTTCATTTGATGCTCCAGCTAATTATGTAACATGAAGTCCAGAAACGCACATACAATTAAAAGTTCTGTCACTATTTCTGTAGTGCAGATTAATGTTTCTCTAACACCAAAGTACAGCATCCTTGTGTCTAACATCCAGAAAAGTAATAGCCTGGGTAGAAGGTGAGAGAATACCCAGTGAGAGAGCAAGAGCGAGATCAGATGGCCTTAAAAGTTCCCTAACAGGTTGCACAAACACCAGCCGAGGGGCCCCTCCCTGTAGCAGCCTGCCAAGGCAAACAATAGTGCGGAACTTGGAACAACACGGATTGGATAAGAGGCAGAGAGAAAGAGCCTGGCTGGGAGGGCTGTAACCCACTGTCATTCGTCTGCTGTCGACCCATCCCACCCACTCCTGGAACCATGAGACACGTGCTGCTGTTGCTGTTTGTTCGCCTGGTGCCCCAGCGAGCACCACTCCCCTCTGTTCCCACTGTTTGCTTGCCACTAGCTAGCACTAGCTCTTAGCGGCCGGCCCCTAATTACATTGTGGAGAGGATCTAAGGAGGATGTGCCACATAGACAGGGAGGGGAGGAGGGCACAGCGTTCCCACCACAAGGTCCTGGAGCGACATTTCATTTCAACAGCCTTAACCCTTTACCCCCCCCCCCCCTCCACCCAATCGGAGCAGCCAGGGTGGGGACGCCTTGTGAAAGGCCTCTGATAATTACTGTTTGAGTCAGTTGGCTCTTTATCCATCTTACTCAGACAGTGAAGTCATGGAAGGACAATCCAACTTTTTTGATAACACTGACTTGATTGAAAAGTTTTTTGGCCTTTTTTGATTTTTTTAACGGCAGATTTGAATGAGTTAGGAATGAATGTTTCTATCGGATCGCCCTAAACGAGCTGTTGTGTCTCACTGTAAAAATGATCTGTGGATTGAAAGAACATAAGAGGCTCGGAAGTCTTCATTGTTTGAATGTATTGTGAGCTAGAGTGACACTGAAACATTGATTGTTTTTAAATGGATGCAGAGTGATACATTTGTGCACAAATTTACTTTTTTATTTGTTGGGAACACCAGTTTTGGAATACACGCTTTGTCTAAATCGTATTTTGATTCATCACGTATTTCTGTTTATCACACGTGCATCACTGAATTAATTTACTTTAGAGGAATTTCTGTCGCATGTGTGAAAACGAATCATACCAACTCGCTATTAACTATTCAATTAATAAACTGACCTCTAATGGTCAGTCTTGCTTTTCTGCCCGTCTCTCTTTTTCGCCTGCATGTACGTCTCCTCTCATGCCTCACTTAGTCACTAACACTTTCAACTCTCAGCACTCCCACCCCAAATGATGTGTCACCTTCATTTAGTGTCATCCTTCTCCCAAGAACTTCATCTGTTTCCGGGCTCTGACCACCACCGCCAAACTTGGCCTAATCAGTCTCCTCTTCCTCTCCTCTTCCTCTCCTCCTCCTCCTCCTCTCTGTCCCTGTTGCACCTGTATCATCATTATGCCCAGAGCAGAGCGGCTAACTTGTCCCCATCCCTGAGCGCTCAGGCCACAAATCAGCAGCTAATGTCCATCTCACCCCTTGTCACAGGCAGACACTCATTTGGCCTGTGAGCTCCAACACCTAAAGCCGAGTTTACCGCTGTCAGGCCATCCACCTGACCCACATGCTAAATCACCAGCAGCCAAAGTTTACCCCTGTCACCTACTGTCCACAGCCAACACCTGCCCACAGACGGACAATAATTTACAGTATTGACAGCCAAAATCCATCCCCTTATTAGGAGAAGACATTCATTTGACCTACTGTGTAAGCTAGTCCATTATCACCGGTAAAACAGCAGTGCACCTGTTTCTCAGGGAGACACTTCCTTGGTCGGATTTTAAATGACAATTGTCTGGAGCCTGTGGAGGTTTTTAAACTCTATCTTAATTGCTGTCAACTTGAGCAGGTGAACACTATATACAGTAATGCCAGTTACAAAAAAAAAAAGGTTTTTATCTTGACAATAATGAGGAAATGTCAGGGGCAGAATTTGAGCATTTAACTGCTCAGGTTATGTTTAAAAGTTGTCAGAAATGTATTTACGAGAAGTTTACACATTTTGGTGCACATTTATTCCACATTTACGCTTTTATAAAACAGATGTTGTAAAAGAAACTGTTATACATATTATTTACGTTATTTTAGACTGACTTATATTATATATTATTATCATTTTGTTTGAAAATCAGCCGGCATTTCTTTAATACATTTCCTAAAATGTAACACTGCTTGAAATAACTTGTTACATTTAAAAAAAAGTCAGCAATATTTCATTATCTACTATTTTAACTTCAGCAAATTATGGATAATTAATGCCTTGAATTATTTCTTAATTTGAAATAATAGGAAATATGACTAAATGAAATATTTAGAGAAAACACTGAGTTTGTTCTCAATAAATCTGGAGGCCAAGTCAAGTCGCTCGGCCCCTTAAAGAGCCTGTCTGCACCAAGTGTCATCTCTCAGGCCTTCAGGGGGGCCCACAGCTACACACCATTATCTCTCACCCCCAAAGTAAACTAAAGCTTAGGGTTTGCCGTTAATAATCTGTTCGGTGATTAAGAATGTTTCATCTAGATCTTTTTCCATCTAACAAACAGATTTTATTGAACTATTCTAAGTCCCTTTATGTTTCTCTACGTCTCTGTTTTGTCTGAACCAACACTACCAAATGAACAAAAGAAGTTGCACATTCTTGATTGTTACAACGTGATATAAAAAATAGATTTTCCGAAGCAGGAATAATTTGGACAGTTTCATAATCAAGCCTTGGTAAGAAAAAATAATCTGTTCTATTTTTCCTGGATTCAAAAATCGTCCATTAATTACCATAAGGTGTCAAAAAGAATAGTAAAAAGGTTCATGAAAAGAAATGAAAGCCTTTTTCACACACTGACAGCTGCAGGTTAAAAGTGACTGAAGAGAATGAGATATAACAGAGTAACAATTTGTGATTAACCAAACCTGTAATTTGTAATTTTTGTAGAAATGCAGTTACTTTTCTGTAGTGACTTTATAAGTGTTACATTATCAGATATACCAGCCACACGATACATTATAAAGAAATACACCAACTGCTACATTATTATATGCAGCTGGATTTTCTTTATTTTCCTCTTACACTAAATTGTGAACTGCATATTCTTTTCTTTAAATATGAGACTACAAACACATCTTAATACATAATGATGAACAACAACTCATAAACAATTGTAATGGAAATACTGGTCATGGCATTTTGTAACAACATGAGGTAAGAGCGCTATGAGCTGACAACAAACCCGTTGTAAACAGTAATTTTCAGCTCAGCCTCAAATCCATAACATGTTTTTATTTTGTCCCCACTCACAAACATTCCCTTTATCTTTATGAATTACCTGAGCTTCTATTTTGGATTCAAAGCACAATGTCATATAGATATGGAATATCTAAAAGTGCAATGTATAATTACTGCTGGAGACAAAACACATACTTAAGTCCAGTTAAACTACTATGTTTGACATTTCCAAGACGTGCTGTGATGCTATAAACGATCTTGCTATTTCCAGAATTTTACAGCCCAATATTTACACTACAGCCTAAATAATTACATGAGTCATTAAGTGACATTATTGACCTGTTTGCACCTTGTCAGGCCCTTATGATCTAGAGCTTCAACACTCACTCAAACACTCTTTAAACAGGGACACTAAGTGCTGCACGTGTGCTCACTGTAACATAACGCACAAGTGCAAGCTTGTTCACTCACATACACACTCTGAAACAATGTGACAAATCATTATGGACATATACACTCAGATACACACCCATGTGCATTCTCTAAAACTCTGGCTTCCATTCTTGATTCACACATGTCTTGATACGCTCCCAAGCATTCCACAGCTTTCAGCACCCGTCACCTACCGTGCCTTCAGTTTCTTGATTCCCCTCACGTGTCTTTGTATTTCCAGACTACTTAGAGGCTCTGTTGCTCCTTGCTTGACCTCTCAGCATTGCCCTTTTTTAAAAGACACACCGCTGGCTCTCTATTTGCTGTCAATCAGTCCGGCAGTCAGTCCATTCACAAGCTCCTCACACCGGCCACAGATGCCCATTCACAAAATTAAATGTAAAAAAAAAAAAACACCCAAGGAGGAATATCCAATGGAGTGAAGAAAAAGCAGCGCAGCAGAGGAGAGCAGAGTGTGATTCTTGGGTCTGTCTGTGTAGCGGAGTGTGGAGTTAAGAGTCAGGCTCACTGTTGTGTGTGGCTCATGTAGGACGAGCGAGAGAGTAAGAGGAAGGGAGGGAGGGCAGCAGCACTGCGCTGTGGAGATGTCGCACCACTAGTTTTTATAGCAGGGTGGGTAGCTGGAAGATAATAATACCCCATCCTCCTCCACAACACAAGTTTAAGCGCACTGTGTAATAAGCCCATGGCGCAGACACCCTCTGATTTAGGTCAGACAAAATGAATTTTTAGTTGTGTTAGAGTGAATTTTCGGTATAAAGGGACCAGGGGAAATAACTCCAAGGGGTTGTTTGGGGAGACGGAGGAAACGAGAGAGAAGTTGGAAAACGATTTGGTGCACCTCTGTTGGTTAGTCTCAAGCTGAGATGAAGAGATGTACAGGAATATAAGTAGTCACACAGATGCAGATCTCTGGGTCTTTTAAAAACAGTTGCACTGACAATTCTATAATCTATCAAATATTTAACAAACTCTTTGAGTCCTCTGCACGTGTTTAGTCAATGTAGGGTTAAGAAAGGCAATGAGATGCATGCTGGGCGAGTGTAGCCCCCATAAACACTCAGTCACAACAGACTAATTACTGAAAACACATTAACACACTTTGGTGTGTGGCACCCTGCACTCAGAAGCTTATAAAACACGCTGATTCAGTCATGGGTGTACATTTTAAAGGAAATATCACTTAAAAGCTGACAATATCTGAGACAAAGTTAAACCACAAACGCTGAAAAATACCACAAGCAAGGCAGACCTATTTTTCTCTGTTGAAACGTCTTTTTCAAAAACCAGGTTGAAGAGAGCAGTATAGGCCAACGTTAGATTCTTGTTTTGAGTCAGAAAGCAAGGTAGCAGTTGGTGACAGACCACCGGCTCTATCTGGAGGTGGAGGAAGTTCATATCGTAAGGTGTAGAAATAACCCATTCTGTATAGACTTCAGTGTAGAAGAGTAAATCTGTTCAGCAGGCGTTTGGCAGGATTTTCAAGAACGCCAAGAAAATGTGCAATTTCTTCCATAAGTTTATGGTAACAAAGATAATGGTACATAGCATGGCTTACCAGACTGATTCTTCCAATTTTGTCAAAGTGTGTGTGAGTTTATGACAGCAATAAAAAGAGAAAAGGGAGAAAGAGTGTTTCCTCAGACAACCCAAATGTTATGACGTAGCACATTCAACAGATCTGAAACAGCCATTGGGATTTCCTGCATGACCTCAATAAACCTCGCCATTTGTATTACTTACGTCTTTTAGTTTAATTTAGCTTACAGGAAAGCGTCATCGCCTGAGTGATACATTTTAAAATTGAAAACAAAACGGGTGCAGGTAATAAAACATAAAGGCAAGGCAAGGCAAGTTTATTTATATAGCACTTTCCAACACAAGGCAATTCAAAGTGCTTTACAAAAAATGAAAGAGATTAAGAAAATGGCATTTAAAATCAGTCATTAAAAAGAAAAGCTAATAAATAAACATTAAAAGAAAAAATACATGGATAAAAGTTACAGTGCAATTAAACATTAAAAGAAAAAGTACATGGATAAAGTTACAGTGCAGTCTAAGATATGAATAGTTCAATTAAAAGCAGCGACAAAAAGAAAAGTCTTCAGCCTGGATTTAAAAGTAGTAAGAGTTGCAGCGGACCTGCAGGTTTCTGGGAGTTTGTTCCAGATATTTGGAGCATAATAACTGAACGCTGCTTTACCATGTTTAGTTCTGACTCTGGGGACAGAAAGCTGACCAGTCCCTGAAGACCTGAGAGATCTGGATGGTTCATAATTTAGCAGGAGGTCAGAAATGTATTTTGGGCCTAAACCATTCAGTGCTTTATAAACCAGCAGCAGTATTTTTAAATCTATTCTTTGACACACAGGAAGCCAGTGTAAAGACTTCAGAAAAAGGGGACCTATCATGCAAAATGCAATTTTGTACGTCTTTTATACATGAATATGTGTCCCCGGTGTGTCATGGAACTCACCAAGTGTCAGAAAACACAACCCTCTCTCTTTTCCTCCATACTCAAATCTCAAAAAACGGGGCTGCAACGGATCTGATACAGACTGATACAGATTTGAAATATCTCTGACGTCAGAAACGAGTAGCTCCGCCTATATGGGCAACTCTCCACTTATCAGGAGGAGACAGCCACGGCCATTGCCCGTTCGAAAGTGCTGGAGACGCTGTAGTACATATGCCAGGCCTGTAGGTGGCGCTGTAGTCTGCCACAAAAGCAGCGAAGAAGACTTCTCACAGAATCAGCCCTTGCAAAAACAGGGCTAAAAAAGAGCAAATAGAGCGAAATGAGGCATGGCTAAAATGCATGATCTGTTTGATATTTAGAAAAAAAAACTTCGCAGACATGTTTTTATATAGGTATGGCCCTACAATATATTATTCAAATATAGCATGATAGGTCCACTTTAATTTAAGAATCTAACATAGAATCAAAAAATCCAAACCCTTTCCTTCATTCATAAAGGTGAAATATGCAGTCAGACATTGTTGTCTTAGCGGTCAGCGGACCTTCAAATCTACTGAAGTATTTCAAACCATCCACAAATCATAACTGACAATCAGACTATGAAAGCAGTCAAATTGTGTTGAGTTAACCTCCACAAACAAGAAGACATCAGAGTGTACATCAGACTGCTATGCCCACTTCCCTTTGGGGAAAACATGGACTTCAGCAGACCGCAGCCCATGCCCTGGCGGTTTACACTGTTTTGTACAGGGTGAGAGCTGAGGCCAGCTCACATTGGCATCTAGTATATATAAACAGGGTTAGCCACTAACTGCTAGCAGGCCAGCCAGACGGCCAGAAAAACAACATTTGCCATCTTATAAGATCGGCTATCTATTCTCAACACGCCTCTGCCGCCATAGCAGCATTCTGTAAGTGGTACCTGTGAACTGCTTTGTTCTGAACTCTGTAAAACTGCCATTGGCCATGATAGACATAAACCCAGGCGTCATCAAATGTGAAAAATACATTGATTTCCTCTACAGCACATTTTGCGGTGTAGATTCAAAAGTGTTTAATCCCAGCTGTAATGTGTGCACAGTAGGCTATACATGGCTAGAAGCTTGATTTTAAAAAGCAAAATCCTAATAACAAAATCAATCACAATTCAGTACACTCACACAAAGGCAAAGGTAAGACAAAAGCAAACATTTATTTATGCCTAACTTGCAAATGTTTTTAGTATTTCTCAATTCTCAATGACTTCGAGATTTAATCAAAACCTTTTACAAATGTAATTGGCACTCCAGCCACCTTTTTTATTTTAATCAGAAACCTCCACTTTGTACGTTAGTTATATCTAGGTTGTGAAAAAATCTTTAATAAAACCTTTTCAGTGATGTGCTTTCAACACGTTTTTTTGAACTGTCTTGTATTATTGTCTTGTCAACAGGACATTAATCTTGGGTTTCTGGTGTTTTATATCTCAGGCTAAATATATTTTCCTTTCCCCCCCCGGTCTTTGCCAGTGAGGGCTACACCAAGACGTGGTGAGTCTTGTCACAAAACACGAGGACTGGTGACTGAGTACGAGTCATCTGTTTTGTCTGTCTGTCTGGCGGGCGTCTCAGCGTACCTGTTTACTGCCTCCTGCTGCGCCCAGCGGGACACTCGTACCAGGGCACCAGATTGGCACTTTGGAGGGGGGATGGGGTGTGAAGCATCATTACATGAAGTTGGTATCATGGAGACTTTGATGCTGTTCAATATGACATACACAGATTTCTCTCAAAAACTAAGAACTCATGAGAATATGTTTGACTGTATAGCAGCAATGCAACCACATACCATCAAACCTAATTAACATGTGTCAGTAAAACAAAAGATCTCACTTAAAAGCTTGTTATAAATAAAGTTCCTTAAAGCTAGAGAGCTATTGGCCCAGAGTGCTGAACTCTTAATGCTGTTAATATTATGAGTACAATCTTTGATAAAAAGGGTGCTTTCCTTTCAGTTGTTTCATTTCAGGCGGTACCCGGATAATACATATGTTTATTCTCAAGTGACAAAGCCTGTAGTAATTATGACTCTTCTCTGTCAGGAGGAAAGAAGGTTCTATGACAAAGTCTGTGTAAGTGGGAGGTGAAGGGTCATTAAAAAAATGCAATTTAAGAAGGTGTAGACAGCTGTGTTTCTCGTTTTAAACAGATAGCAAGCGTTGTTGTTATTCAAACCTTACCATGATCACTCCCTAACTGTAACCATATGTTTATTATTGTAACCATTACAACGAAATTCCCTTATCCTTAAGAGAGCTATTTCAACCCAAACATTGATCTGAACCTGAAGTCGTTGGGTCCTGAAACAAACAAAACAAACCTGCCAATAAGCGTTACTTTGTAAAGTATGGACAAATGGACAAATTATGTTATTTCTTGGTTAGTTTTGAGAAGTTATAAATGCTCAAATGTTTACACTGTCAATCTTAGAAGACCTTCCTATTCAGGTTTAAAATGACGTGGCAGTGTGTGCATGGCATAATAATCTACTCATCAGACCTTCCCAGGATTAATAGCCGTGGAAACAGACAAACAAAACCAGCCCGATTTATGCCCTTCTCCTTGGTGTGTCGGAGGCCAGGTGTGGCCTGTAGTGGGAGAGGAGCAGGAAAGGGAGGCGATCACCCCCCCACAGTCCAGAGATAGAGGATCGCAGCAGTTCTACACCCCGTCTCAAGTCCAAGGACAGAGATAGACACGCAAACATATGCAATGTTGCTTAAACCCAAAGGGAGGCAGGCATGTGTGCAAAATAAAAAACCTACTGTTAACTCGCCCCGCTCAATCACAGAGACACACACCTGTCTGTCAATTCAAGCGCTTTGAGCACCTGTAAAAGCGCTCTAATAAAAAATGTAATGCATTAT